AAAATTGTTTTTTTTTTTCCTTTACATATCATTTTGAAAATTTTATTTAAACTGTATCTAATTTACCGTACATATATTTAAACATTTGTGTATTAAATGCAATTTTCTTACGATTATCATTTTCCTCGAATTACGTATATATTAAACCGGTAAACTGAGAAATTCGCAAGATTCATCTGCCAATTCAAAAATTTTTATGTATGTGTAAAAGAGCACGATGATGTTAATTATCAATAAAATCTTCACTAAAATGATCTGAATATTTTTCGCAAATTTTAGCACCCTTCTAACACCCCCGAAATCCAAAACCAAGTGAAAAATTTCTGGAATTTAAAAGGTAACATGACTACTAGCTTTTTAAAATATATGATCAATTTGTTAATTATAATTGATGTATTCCATAGCTAAAAAATTAAATTTAAAATAAAATTCATTAGTTGTTTGTTTCTTCGTGGAGGTTGGTGCGTGGAACGGGTCCATGTTCGGGACTTGCGCGTATGGTAAATTTCATTTAGAAAGAAATAAACTATAACATATAAAAATTTTAGTACATTTTATCGGGAACTCCAATCCCATTGGGTTGGTGCGTCGTCCTTTCTGGCTTCACTCTAAAATCAAGATAAATTAATGTTGTCATCGAATGACAGTAAAAATTAAGGACCCTAACGTATGACCTGTTGTTTGTTAAGTATATCTGGCTCATTATAGTAGACAAACAAGATGTCAGTAGGCTCTTAGGTACTGAAGTTAAAACATATAACTTTACAGCAGATAGTATGTAATTATAGAAACACCTTTTATCAAACCATATTTTAAATAATTTACTGCAATTTATCAAAGGTAGTGATATTATCCTTTTAACCAGAATTATAAATGAAGAATTACATAAATAAATAATGTAGGTAAAACAAGAACATAGTATAGACATTGCCAGGCTGCATCCAGTACAAGATTGCCCACTTTAATCGAATCTTCCAATCATTTCAAAACAACTTTCGACTCATCAACAACTTTTCACTCATTCTTAGTTGCGTATCTTACAACTATGATTTCATACCTTAAAAAATGCTTAGAAAAACATTCTGTATTACTGCTTTATTTTAGATGAGGTAGTATTTATATTACATGACAGTTAATGTAGCTCAACCTAAATAATAGCCTTGTTTATAACTGAAAAATTTTGTATGGCTGAAATGGAATTGACATTTAATTATCCCTCTATAAAATTGCGTATTGATGAGCCAATAATGAAAAAAAGATGAAAATCATGTAATACTTTGCTTGAAAATATTTTTAAAACAAAAAATTCTTAATTGATTACGCTGTTATTTATTTATTCTAAAAATAGCAAATAAATAAACATTGAAAAATGTTCCTAATTTATTGATGCTGCTACTAATAAATACCGATTTAAAGTTTCGTAAAAAATGATGTAATGAAATAAATATTTTGTAAATGTATGTAATTAGTCTTATATTAAAAAAAAAATTAGTTCATAAATATGAATTTTTTGTTCCCTTGTTTTACTTTTGTTTCTTCTCCTTCTATGATTCCCAGAATAAAAGTTAAAATTCACTTTCATTACATACTTTTTAGGAGTGAATATTTTTAAACTGTTGATTTGCTCCCTAATAAAGTATAATATGAAAACACGTTGTCAATGACATGTATTGGTTAGCAGTTCCGATCGTAACGGATGAAAATAAAGTGCTAATGTTGTGCCATATGATTATTTTTTCAGAAGCTCTATGCCATTCCTTGCCTATGCCACTCTTATATTGAAATTATAATCTAAACATGTAAATATATACATATAAGTGACTTTTCCTGAGCTATACTACCTCCACGCATATGTACTTCTTTACTCACCCTTTTTCGTTCGTAATCTATGTGCTTTCGGGCTGATTATAAATTGTAAAACATAATACACTCCATAAAAGTATTTTAGGCCACTTAACTCACAAAATCAAGTATTTATTCTAGTACTTTAACCAGACACCCACTTATACTTCTGAATTCTCGAAATAGCGAATTACTGTTATAGCGTTTGTTATAGAAAATAACCATTAACTTACTAATCATCCAACACTACGAGCATTTTGCACGATTCGTACACCAATGTAATAACTATCCTTCTTTTGCATGAATAAAGCTTAAAGAATATTTCAGTATCGTTGTCTCTAGTTCTTGAAAGAAGTGATCATCTGTTCATTTTTTTACCTATTATAAAAATAAATTGACATTTTGCGTCAAAGTTTGCGTATCAAAGTATTGGATGAAAAAAAGTTATTAATTCAGTTTTTTAGTCCTTTTTTTTACAAAAGAATTCGAACGTTATAATCGAAGGAAAAAATTTCAAATAGCTAAAAGCGTTCTATCATTATATTTCACATTTTATGACAAAATAGTAAGTAAAAAAATTGTAGATCATATGAAAATAAAAATCTTTTTTGAACGGAACATTAATCTCTTTAAGTATATTAAAACGCTATGAATAATAAAAATAGCCTTAAGGCTACTAAAATTGGTTAATTATAGTAAAAGCAGTTATAGTAAAAGGTCAATATTTTAGAACAAATTATTGAACACGTATCTGTAAGTATTTGTCACGTTCCTACCTTTGCTGACTCTACTTACGACGTCCCTCTTATCTGCTCAATCTCTCTACTAGCGGAAGCAGCTACTCAATCTGCGTACCACTGTGTGCTGCATGTGAAGTAGAGATAAGCTCCTCAATATATCAGTTGAAAAACTCAACACTTGCCTTTACTTTTGCTACTTTACAAATTTTAATAAAAATAAGCGTTGTTTTTGGCAATACTTAATATAATAAGCTAAGCTGAGGAATAGATTCATACGTAAATGGACAGCAAGTTATAAAAAATATTAAATTTTTTTTTATTTCTAGCGATATTGTTCCGTGTACGTCTTGTTTCTGTAGACTCTCATAAAATCAATGGGTCAGAACATGAATACTAACACTTAAGTTCCATTAAATATTTTTTTCATAAAATTTTTGGGGAGCAGTATGGAATTATGGTTAATTATACGATAATTTTTCAGGTAGACGAAGAACAAATGAAGAAAATATTAAAAATGATTGATTGTGGAAAGTCTGAAGGTGCCAAATTGGTGGAAGGGGGAGGTAAAATTGGTGAAAAAGGATATTTTATTTCTCCCACAGTGTTTTCCAATGTGACAGATAATATGACTATTGCAACCAAAGAAGTAATTAACAGTTTATTGTTTCACGTTAAAACATTTATACCTTTTTACACAATAGTAGTTTTCGTAAGTGGTGGCACATGTTTCTAGGGCAAGCACCAGTGCCAAGGGACCTACAAATCAGGTCCCGAGCGATTCTTTGTATTTGCCCTAATTGGATGCGCACCAAGTACGAACTCTATATTTCCTACTGAGAGTGCAGTACATATCCAAAAGTTCAAAAAACCTTCTAAAGTAGAAAAATGACTCTTTCGATTAACTTGAAAGAGATTTCTTTTATTTTTGTATTAACATTTGATATTAAATAAAAACCTCTCTTATTTTTATTCTTATGACGGCCCCAAAAATAATTAGAGTCATCGTTTAAAATTTTTTGTAATAAACAATTATTGCATAATGTTACAAAAATATTTCTCTAGATCTTTGGACCAGTGCAACAAATTTTAAAATTTGATAAGATTCATGAAGTTATCGAACGAGCAAATAAAACAGATTATGGATTAGCTGCTGCTATTTTTACAAAAGACATAGATAAAGCTAATTACATTACACAAGGATTACGAGCTGGAACAGTATGGTAAGTAGTACAAAAAGATAATTCTAAGCATTACAATTAGCAAGATTGTTATATATTAAAAAAATTTATGCGTAACAACATTTCAGGATAAACACTTATAATGCTCTAGCCCCTCAGGTGCCATTTGGTGGATACAAAATGTCTGGCCATGGTAGAGAACTCGGAGCATATGGTTTAGAAGCCTATACAGAAGTTAAGAGCGTTATTACTAGAGTGCCTGAAAAAAATAGTTAATTTCACCAGTCAAATAAGTGATAGGTTATACGCATAAAAGTATGTTTCAGTATCTGTTTTGACCCGAATAAAAATTTTCTTAGCAAGCATTCCTTAAACTGTATAGCTTAGAACTAATAAAAAAAATATAACCTCCTCCTGACGTAATGTCACTAAAATCTTACTATACTGGTATTAAGGTCAAACATTTTTTTCAAACTCTACAAAAATATTTTGAAGATGCAAATTGTAAACTATTTGATTTTTCATTGTTTAGAAGTTCTTATAGTTTTAGTTGTTATCAAGTTATTAACATTGTAGTTATAAAATACAACTGAGAAAACAGTAAATATTCTAATACGTAGTAAAATTTAATAGAATTAATTTATTTTAGGAGTAAGAAAACCAGAGGTAGATGGGTGCTGGAGAACCCAAGTCTCAAGTTATAGTTCTCTGGCAGATAACATGTAAATAATAAGAAAATAAATAAATAATTAATAAATAAATAAAAGTGCCTATCACCCAATAACCCAAGCCGCTTACTGGCAGACCTGTTAAATAAATAATTGATAATAAATGACACAAACGCCTATC